GCCTTGTGATATTGACTAATGCAGATATTTTTGGCTCAGAAGTATTTGTTTGTTTTTGTTTAAATTTGTTTTTGCTAATTTACATTTACAGTTGAACCATGGCTATCTTAGTCTCTGATTGTATTTATATAAAGACGGACAGGAAAGAAGGAAAATGTCTTTTCTTTGTACAATTTCTGTATCTCTCTATGAAGCCCATGTGCAGCAAGTTTCTACCTTTTTGTAATGAAGTGCATTGAATAGTGGCTTATAGGTAATATAGGATAAGAACCACAGGACTACAGAAAAGACCTGTAGAAACAATCTTTAATGAAAAAAGATGAAAAATAAAACTGAACTGGGCTTTGACGTCACTTGTGAAGTTTTAATTAAGATTGAACACCCTCAAATGAGCTGTTTGACATTGCATTCTAATATCATTTTCTTCTCATAATTTTCACACTGCTCTGGTTTGAACAGGGGTGTCCCCCCCTACATAGAGGAAGTGTTTCCTCTTTTGTCATGCTGTGAAAAGAGTGCATAAGCTAGAAAATGAGAATTAGGAGCCAAGCACAGATTGAGACAAATGTTTAGCAGAGGCATGAAAGTGCTAAGGCTGACTCCTGTCAAATATAGACAGGCAGTGGGTTAGGCAGGGAGGAAGCCTCCCCAGGACCCAAGGATTGGCAAGTATCCAACTTGGAGAGCAGCCCCAGTGAGGAGCCAGATTCAAGCTAGTCCTTGTGTTGGGCTTTCCTTATATTATTCCCTCACATTCAACAAATCTTGCCCCAGGAGGCAGCCTGATTTATACTGTGAAAAATGAAGAGAAAGGTCTGGCAAAGAGCAAAAACAGAGGGAAGAGAAGTGGCCACCTCTTTAAGGCCAGAACTGAGGGAGTAATGGAAGAACTACCCAAAGAAAGTTGTACTCAGAAGAACAATTGCAGACAGAAACACTGGACACAAGCAGCTGATAAGGAAGGTGAGGAACCTGTTACCAAATATGTAGAGAAGCTGTGGAAATCTTTAGAGTGTGGAGACTTATAAGGAAAGAATAAATCATGAGATCATTTGGAAGAAGAATAGAACAAAGAATGTAATAAGGGAACATAGTCGTGTTCAGGTTGGTTTTTACACATACTAGCTGAATGAACTATGCCACATAGTTTGGCTGCTCTCTCCCTTAGGGTCCTCACTTTTAAAATGGGAATAATAGTTATACTTATCTAATTGGGCTGTTCTGAGGGGGATGTGAATATTAAGCTCTTAGGATAGTATTTGAATAAATGAAATATTATGTATTACTTACATAGACTGGTGAGTGTCAGGAGTATTTCTACATAAATTTTGGAGAAAAATCATTTCATAATTAAAGTACCACTATAGCTGTCTAAGGTTCAATGTCACCTTGCCTGTGAGCCAGCTATGGCATGCAGAAACATAACTCCATTTTGTCTCCAGTCACAGCTGAGGCCTCAAGGGTCTCGTGATGCTGTGGCACTCAGTGGCAAGATTGCATCAGCTGAAGACATCCTGGTTTGTTGAGAGCCAAGTAGTAATACAAAAAGAAAAAGGTTTCACCTGGGGAGGGACTAATTCCTTGTCAAACTTAACTCATCCCACCCACCATTGTAAGAATGCTCTCTATAGAGTCCTCCTCAACAGAAGAACCTTGTGACTTAAGATCTTCATCTGCTCCTCATTGTCCTAGGATTACCACTGCCCCCTCAGTCACCTGATACTCCCACAAATTATTGTATGTACCCAATAAATAATGTCTAGCTTGGAGAGTCTTGGGCTTTGCCCACTCTGAGGCACTGACATCCCAGCCCCTCATATACTTTGAAATTATGCAAATCTCTATTGTCTTTTTTCTCTTTAGCCCTTGCCATCCCCCTTTCTAGGTAGTCAGAGGATTAATTGCCCCCTGATAGCTGAAGGCTTACTATAGCATTTATTGATGGAAATATACCCATAATTAATTTAATAAATGTCATAAATAATATGCATCTTTTAATAGTATCTTTCAAAAATGTAGATTTTTTTTTGTTTTGCTTTGTTTTTTGAGACAGGGTCTTGCTATGTAGTCCAGGCTGGCCATGAACTCACTTTGCAGCCTAAACTGCCCTCACACTCATAGTAAACCTTCTGCCTGGGAGGTTTACTGTAATCCCAAGTGCTGGGATTACAGGCATGCACCACTATTCCTGGCCAACAAATGTAGATATACAAACAGAAATTATGAAAAAATATACCCCAATACCTCTAGATTAGAAGGTTACAGTTCCAACTTTTTTTTCCACATCTCTACTTTTTAAATTATCTACAGTGAACTTTTATAATAAGAAAAAAATGAAAATATATTGAAATATGTAATGAAAGAGCAGTATAATATAATATACCTTGTCCCTCACTTCTTCCTCTCTGGCACTGTTACTACTCTGCTTCCCAGCTGCCATGAACTAAACACCTTTGTTTCACAAGGTGCTTCCATATGATGTTTCTGCCTTGGAGCTAGCCAACCATGGACTGAATACACAGAAACTATGAACCAAATTAAACCTCTCCTCCCTTAAATTGAGGGTTTTGGGTATTGTATCTCAGCAATGGGAAAGCTGACTTATACAGACAGGGAAAAAGCAAGCCAAGATTCATAAATCTGAATACATACCCAGGTACTCAGATGAACTTTTAATTATATGAACTCAAAAGCACGTGTGTGCACAAACATCACATGTGACTGGGATGTGTCTTAGTCAGTTTTGTTTGCTAAAACAAATGTCACAGACTGGGAAGCTTAGGAACTGTAGACACTTTGCACAGTTTTGGAGACTGGGAAGTCCAAAATGCTCAGAGAGATTTGGTGTCTGATTCACAGCTAACACCTCCTCACTGTGTTTTCACACGGTAAAGAGACAAAGCAGCTTTCTGCAATGTTTTGATAAGGGCATACACCTCATTCATAAAAGCTCTGCCCTCATAACTGTATCTCCTCCCAAAGTCCCCACCATTGAACACCACCACACTAGTGATTAGATTAAACTTACGAATTTTGGGAGGACATAAACCTTCAGATCACAGCAGAAAAGTCCCCAACACACATAACAATCAATTATTCACAAGATTTTCCAGGACTAACCTCACTGACTTGAAAGTTTCTGTTAGCTTACAATTTTGAAGGAAAAGAGGGAATACCATCAATTAAAACACTGAATACCAGAGGGGTATACACCTCCCTGCGAAAAACATCTAAAAAGAATACATTGTAAGCTTGGGAACCCAACATAGCAGACTTTTCTCTTGATTGTCATTATAGAATGTAAGTGTCCCTCATACATTAGTTCACTTATTCCACAAATATTCACACACTGTCTGTTACATTTCAGGCATTCTATGGGAGACTGTGATAATGTTCCCAACAGTCCACTGAGAAGCATTTTATTTCTTATTTTAAGCTTCTCAGACCATCATTCACTAACATTCAGCATTAATGTAAAGGAAAATGCCCCTGAAGATGATTTAGGCAAGAAGAAGGATATCAGGGGAGAAGGCAAAGCACCGTGAGGGAGAGTAATGAGGGTGTGGATAGGATCAAAATATGTTGTATGCATGTATGAAAATGTCACAGTGTAGCCCAATATTCAGTATGATTAATTGCACTAATATCAAAAATGTCCCTGCCTCCAACAACACACATACTGCTGCATGGACAGAGGCCTAAACAAGGAGCAAACTGTATTCACGCTTATTAAAATCCAATTAACAGTATACACATATAAACACATATATGTAAATGGACAATGGGAGAATGAGTAAGAATCTATGCAAATAAAGGAAAATGCAATCAAAAGGCCTGGTACTCAGCTGGTATTTGTGTAACTGATGACTTCTTATCCCCAAAGATCCAAGGATTTAAAAAAGAAAACAAACAGCAAAAAAAGGTTGTGAAGATGACCATAAATGGTGGCTAATTCTCTGCTTTTTCCATGGAGGACACTTTGTTTTTGATGATGATGATTGCTTCTTTCTCCTTCTTTCCATGCAGGGAGAATCCTTCCTGAGCTGCAGCACCCTTTATTATGGCAGGCACGCTTTGTAATGGAGTCATTATCCCGCTGAGGACTGAGCAAGAGAAAGTGATCCTTCTTTCCTGTACTAAAGTGCCTGCTCCTCAGCTTGGTTATTAAAATGAGAACTCAAATAGCTCCTTGTTCTAATTTTCCTTATCAGCCTCCACAGGGCCCATTTCAGGCTGTCTGTGAAGTGTTCGAATGCAATTGTGTTCTTGAATAAAAAGGAGAAACTAAATTAGAGCCTCTTAAGACCATTATATTGTCTTATTTAGTGATACTGTTTGCCTCACCACTACTAAGCAATGAGCTAAGTGTTCTTCCTGAGTAAGAATAATAATACCCACATTTAACCAGCACTTTACACTTTGTAAAGCACTTTTGCATATGTTATCTCTTTTGAGCCATGTGAGAAGCTGAAGCACATTCAAAGGTGTTAGGATCATCAATTTACATAGTAAGTTATGGCTTTCAAATTTCAAAGCCAGGCCTTGCAAGCCAATGATCTGGCAAAGGAGCAGAGTGAGTTGTCTTAACTTTGGGCTCCAAGCATCTGCCACAGACCCTCCCAGATCATCAGGGATGACCATTGTCCTCCCTGCCCCTCTATATGGAGACCTCCTGATCTCAACTTACATGAGTAGCCTTTGAGAGCAGAAACCAATCAGAAGAACCAATCAGAAGAACTTCATATTAGGGGCACACACATGAATACTTGTTAGTAATCCACAAATTATGGAGGGCAGTGTAGGAACCAGCCTATGAATTTATTCCTGATCGAGGGGTGAATGAGAATGAAAAACAAAAGACACAAAGATAATTTGGAATGAATGAGTCAGAGGGATCTTTGACTCAAGTGGACAAAGCCCTAAGCGTTTGGCTCATCTTGTTTTTATTAACTTAGACACAGGAATGAACTATTAGGTTAATAGAAGATTCATCTGCCTCTTGTTATCTATAGCATGTACCCAAGTAAACATCCAGATCTCAACTGTATTGACTCTTCTCCAAAACTTCCAATGTGCTAGCATGCCTGCACATTGCCAGAGGAAATGCGGCTTGCTGTTTTTCTCTTTGGTGCTTGCAGAGAAGATCGATTAGGCCTCAATCCTCATTATGTGGTCTCCTACATCTACCTTTTTTGTTTTTGTAATAGCAGGAGCTGAAGCAAAATGAAGTGTGGTTGTGTTTGCATACATTGTTGAGTTCCTCTCCTGAGGTGGCAGACTATGAACAAAACAATAAGACAAATAGTTAAGAATCCCATCAATCCTTCATATATGCCAAAATGAGCATTCATATAACTGCAAGGACCAAATTGATTCAATGCTTGTGCAAATTAATCCTATTTCTGTATTTATCAAATCTTCAGTTTGTTAATACATACCCAGTAAGATTCACTTTGTACTACAGGTATACATACAAGTACATGCTATGATATCAATCATAGCAGTGAAGAGACTATCAAGCATTCTAGGAAGGCCTTGATGATGGACAAGTTTTTCTGCCTCCTGAGTGGTTTTCTTTAGTTGTCCCCATGTTATGAGATCCACGGCTCATGTGGATTGTAGAGGCTGTCTTTACTTACTGTCATCTAATGTCATCTGGGAGGAGGCACTCACTGGTGGAGAGAGCAATCAAGCTCCATCACAGGCATGTCATGAGAGGGGGGGACTCCTCTGTGGTTGCACGTTCCTAGAGGGCACCCACATTGCCCATCCATTTCCTGGAACAACACAAGCAAACTCCTATCCCCATGGCAACAGGTAACTGGTCCCTCCCATTTCCCCATCTCCAGGGACCACCATAACACTTGTAATTTCTCCTTTTTCCCAAACTCTTGTGCTTTTGACCAATGTAATTCCATTGGAGTGCTATCTATATTACCAACAGGATTCAAAATATTAAGTGTAAACACTGCAAGATTAAGGTGAGATTGTGGCTCCAAGGAATTAGTGACATTAACTACATACAGAATCACATAAAATGTTAACAGCTTCTGTGAGACTACATTCTAATACAATAATTACAGCAACCAATTCTGATCCTTGAGCTGAAAGTTCAGGGGTAGCAATCTTCTGGTGATTTTGCATAGTCCAGTAAGCAGCAAAACCATGAGAAGATGCATCCATAAAGTAGGTTGAGGTATCCATAAGAGGAATTGTCTGAGTATTTCTAGATAAGATAAATGAATAATGCCAATATAACTGTACAGAGTTATTGGAAGGATAATGATTATCAACTAATCCTATATAATTTGCAAAGACTATCTGCCAGACCAAGGAAGTTTATAATAAATGAGTAGTGGCCATCTATCTGAATATGGACCTGTTTCTAACAATGTATTTTCAGTAATCTCTGGATGTCTTGCCACTTGATTCTGTCACCTTGTTCAGCTGTTAATTCTTGAAAATTAACATGGAAATTTAATTATTGTCCTACAGAAAGGAAGGACCTAGCCAAATGCTTAATGTCTAAAGGAGCAAAGCATAAAGCTTAGGACAGATTCTAATGCACCCAACATGAAAGGTCCTTGAACCCCACTGTTCATGACATTGGATTTTAATTCTTTAAGCAACTTATACTCCAAAGGATGATGCTCATGAATATTCTGTTGCAGATTGTTAGGGTGAGGACAAACAGTAATTGGAAATGCACATATTCCAAAGGGTTGTGTGTTAAGAACAGCCTATCTGACCAATTTTTGATAAGGAGACACTACTTCTGTATCAACCGCAGATGAAAGGGAAAGATGAGGAGGAAGAGAAAGGGACCAAGGCTCTTCACCCTCATTTTTATCTTCTCTCAAGGGTGAACTAGATGTGGGATGTTTTCTTGAAATTAAAGGACAAAGAACCTCATAGACCAAGCTTCATGTGGAGAAAGTTTCAGGGCATATAACAGAGTCCTGGCCATGAGCATGATTCAAACCTTCTCCCACTTTATCCCAACTTTTCTACATTAAACGAGCTAGTCTGAGGAAACCAAGGGTTATGTTTGATAACATCTTGTAACATATGAGAAAGCAATTGGGTACTGACTTCAGTCCCAAATTGGTGCAACAGAATTGCCAATAAAGGGACATAATGCTATACTTCAATTGACGAATTCTGCCCCATAACCCTAGATAAGAAAAAGTTTTCTGCACACACTTACTTTTGTTTTCTTGTCAGCTGGCTCAACTCATCTCCACTGTGGAACTTCTTGTCACTTATTCCCAACACCTTCCATTCAGGCAGACTTTCCCAGGTCAGGATCCTGTTTGGGCACCACTTGTGGGAACCAGCCTATGAGTCTATCTCTGACTAGCAGGCAAATGAGGATGAAAAACAAAAGACACAAAGATAATTTAGAATGAAGGGGCCAGGGGCCTCTTTTCCTCTATGGGACAAAGCCCTAAGCCTTTGGCTCACCTCACTTTTATTCACTTAGACATGGGAACAAACAATTAGATTAATAGAAGATTCATCTGCCTCTCATTATCTATAGCATGTACCCAGGTAAACATCCAGATCTCAGCTGTATTGACTCTTCTCTGGAACTTGCAATGTGCTAGCATGCCTCCACATTGCCAGAGGACGTACAGCTTGCTGTTTTTCTCTTTTTTGTTTGCACAGAAAGTCAATTAGGCCTTGATCCTTATTATCTGGCCTTCTACAGGGCAGGTCATTTTTAAAGTGTTTGAGTTTTTGAACAGCTGCTTTAGCTACATGGATTCATGCGATTATTTTATAATCTGTTCAAATACTGTGTCACATGGCAAGAAAAGTCCACATTTTACAGAACATTTCAGTGTTGTCACAAATGATCTTTGTGAATGTAGGTTTATATGCAGGCTTATTTCTTTTAAAAGCAAAGTTAATCTTGGAAATATTTAAGTTAAACAATTTTCTGACATACTTAAACTACAAGAAGTGTTTTCCTACTTTATATTATTTCTTACGATGTACATACTTACCATGATGATGTTTTGAATACACTATCCCAAACTATAGCACCTTGGCATTTGAAGAATTTGAACTGAAGGAATTGAGAAACAGTATGTATAGCAGGGAATTTCTAACCTTCCCTGGAAGCAGCTCATAAAAGTGTCTGTGAAAGGTTCCCTTCTTATATCCACATGAAAATAATGTCCTTATCTCTGCAAATGAAGGGGCACAGAAAGGAATGTACATGAACAAGACTAAGTGTTGCTAAATATCCCCCAGTTTAGTACTCATAGCTCAGACGCTTTGTCCTATTGATGTAGGGATGATATTGGACCTCCAATTGATATAGGGAAATATTACAACTCCCAACCTGCTAGATGTCAGATAGGTCAAGTTTTTGTTCCCCAAAATAAAAGAATGAATTCTAAGGAACAATGGGGGTTAAGAAATATTTATTGAGAAATATAGCTCCTGAGAGGCAGGAAAGGTCCCAAATGGGTTGCTGAAGACCCCACTTTACAGGAGAAGTTTTATAGAGCAAAATCAGGAAGTCGGTACAAAATCACAAGGCAGGTACAATGTGGGACACAACCAATAAAATTACAAGTATAGCTCCTCAGGTAATATTGATCCAATGGGAAAGCGAGTCACATAGCAACTATACATGGAAAGAACAAAGAACATTTTAGGAAGGTGATGGGTCCAACTGAGCTGACTGATGTCTGTCAATCCAGACTTCATTAGGTCAGGTGTTACCATTTATCTCATCCCTTGGAAAAGCATGTAGGCCTGGTCATTTCACCCTTATCTTGTGGCCTGGCCTCTAACTGATGCACTTCCAGCCACAGTTACAATGTGTTTTTACCTTTTGCACTGATTCTCTCAAGGGCCTAGCACTATCTGACTGACTATACTATTTCTACGTAACTTAGCTATTTCTAATACTATCATACATTTCCATGATTTTCCACACTTCACCAAACCTTCAGGATTAACCATTTTGGGGGATCCTTGTTTTCTTATAAAAGCTTCTGTGTGATGTAAAATTTAAACTAAGTTTTTATTTGTTAATGTGTTTTTTGAGGATTTTTTTTTTTTCATGGTACTAGGGATTAAATCCAAAGGCTTTGCACTGAACTATATCCCCAGCACTTTTTTATTTTTAATTTTTGAGGTTCTTGATAAATTACTAAGTTTCCCAGCCTGGGCTTGAATTTATGATCCTCCTGCTTCAGCCTCACAGAGTCCTGAGATTACAGGTGTACACCACCAAACCCAACTGTTAATCTGGTCTTTTGTTACAAACGGCAGCCAATAAACTTAAAATGAATAGAAAGAAAAGATATTTTTTCCACCCACTTGACTAACTTCATTGATCAATTTGTATTTTGAGTAAGTACAAGATTCTCTTCAAGCAGCATGTGCAGAAATGACTTTTAGAGATGTCAGTTGTTCAGTGTAAGCAAAGCACACCAGCTGCTGGGCCTCTATTATGGGCCAGGACTCTGCTAGAATCCAAGAACATAAGGACAAAAATACAAATTCTTGCTCAGATTGCTCAGAAACTTATGTGGCAAAGAAACTAACTAGGAGAATATTCTTTTTGCTCATTTGATGGTGAAGGAGCTTAGGAAATGCCACCCCAAAATATGCCAACTCAACATGCTGATTACTTCAAATCAAAGGCATGTGGAAAACAGCAAACACAGGAAGAGACTTTTTCCTTGCTGCCCTCACCTGGCTGAAGATAGAGCCTCAGAACAGCTCAGCTGGCCTTAACCCTCTTCTTGGTGTTTCATCAACCAGGCAAGATTGACTCTCATCTTAAAGGAAGACAAGAAGTCAGCACCGCACACCGACAAACTTTGTCAGAAGTTATCATCTGTTTTTCTCAGGACCTATTTATCATCCCCAAAATAATTCACTCTCCCCTAAACTGCCTGTTTCTTCCCTCTGACCTTCCTGATGAAGAGGGTATATCAGCATCTACTTGGATTTTAGAGTTCATTTTTTCTTCATGTGACATACCTGAGCACATACCAGTTCCTTTTCTCTTGGTAATCTGCCTGTCATCAGTTAATTTCATAGACTTAGAGGTACAGTTTGGATCTGGACTCTCCCCCCCCAAACCTCATGTGTAAAGGTGTGTTCTCTAGCTGGTGGTCCCATGGGAGATGCTGGAGACTTAGGAGATGGGGGCAGTTGGAGGAAATGGGTTAAAGAACCATGTCCTTCAGGGCTACTCTTTGTCCTTAGCCCCTGGCTCTCTTCACTACCCTTCTGCCATAAAGTTTCTGCTCCACCACAGGTCCAAGGAAATGGAGCCAACCAACTATGAACTAAAACCTCTAAGACTGGATGCCCAATTAAATACTCCTTTAAGTTGATTTTTCTCAGGTTTTTATGACAGTTTTGGAAAGGTTTTTTTATATAATCTTAAAGAATCATGTTTCTTTCCTCACAACACTCCAGGGTATGTCATTGGCATTATTTGGCTAATTATCCATAACTTCCAATAAATACTAAACTTTGATAAGTACACATCTGATTTTTTGTATATCCTTTTATTGGTACATTTTAGGTGTACAACGTAATGACATTCATCATTGGAGATATGCACCTTTACATACTCTTAGTTTTTATTTTCCCCCTTCCCCTACCCTCCCTTCAACCCCTCCATCCTTCCCAATTTACAAAGACTTTGTTTCCATTTTTTCATTTACTCATATTAATTCCATTCCCCTTTCCTGTCCCCTACTCCTCTCACTTCCCCCTCCACTTTGCCCCTTTTCTGCCTATTTCGCATTATCTATTATAACTTTTAGTTCTTATTTACACTTTCAGTTTTTCACACTAGAGAAACTATTTGGTATTTACATATGTGTGCCCTGTTTATTTCACTTAAGAGTATCTCCTCACTGTGCATCCATTTATCTATAAAGGTCTCTAATTTCTCATTTTTTATGGCTGTGTAGTACTCCATTTAATTTTTTTTTAAACCCACATTTTCTTTATCCATTCCTCAGTTGATGGGCATTTGGGCTGTTTCCAAGTTTTAGCTATTACAAATTGTGCTGCTATTAACAAGGGTGCACATATATCACTGTGGTATGATTCTTTGAATTCTTTGGGGAAGATACCCAACAGGGAGATACCTGGGTCAAATGGGACTTCCAGTCCTAGTTCTTTGAGGTATCTCCATACTGATTTCCACAGTGGTTGCACCAGTCTACACTCCCACCAGCA